GGCACCCAGTAAAAAGTGTTGGCCAGAAATACCAGCCCACCCTGCAACAATCTGTGCCAGATTGCTACGTGCACTGTGAAAAATATTGTTAGAAACGTGCACTGTGAAAAATTATGTTAAAAACAAATAAGCAACTTACATACAATTGCCAACACATTATTTTAAAAAGAGAATTTATTTGCTCAATTAAAACCTTCCTAAAAGAGGTCAACCATTTGATTAAAAAGTTCTACTTCAAATACTAAAATAATTGAGAAAATTTTATATAAACTTAAAAAAAAATGTTCTGTCCTAAGGTATGTATAAAAATTTGGGAAAAATTGTGGAAAATTATATAACGTTGGTGATAATTTATTATTATTTATTACTTATAATTCGATATTAAGCTAAACAGACAGGCCGCTCTTTTTTCTCTAAGTGTAAAAGTAGGTTTTCCTGCTCTGTCATTTGCATGGGCATCTCCGCGTTTTACATTTTGTATTTTCTGGCATTCTGACATTAACACGGCGTCATGGGTATGGAAATATAATAGTTTTGAGCTTGAGTTGCGAATTTTAGTTGTTTGCTGTTCCGCTTAAATTCGGCCATTGTGTGATCTTTGGCTTTGCGAAACTTTTCCTTCCATTCGCTTGTCCATCGAGTGATAATTTCTAACGCTCACTGAGGCAAAGTTTGTTTACCAGCCGAGTGCTATCAAAATCAGTCAGGCCTCAACAACAATAGCAACAATTGGTGGCGAAAGAAAAATGCGCAATGTAAACAAGAGCCAGCATTCAAGCGTCTAAAATCTAGAACCTACACCGCAAACTATTTCGAATCTTTTATATTATACAAAATTGTATCTTATTATAAAAAGTTAAGCAAACTTGTTTGAATGCGTTTGATAAATTATCACTGCTATAAACCGAGACGCCACTGCTATTAAATGTGAAAAACGGATTAATTTTAAGCGGAATAAAATGTTAAAAAAAATATCAGAAAATAAATGTTTAGACATACAAAGAAATTTATATGGTTAAAAAAAATCGTTTTTAAAAATATTTAATTTTCTAACCGATTTTTGGATTGCCCTTTGCATAGGTTTTTATCTTCGAAATATTTGTATTGTATATTTGGCATAGCTAGGATAATATTTTTAAAAATTCAGGAGTGTTAGTTAATATAGTTTTTGAATAACTCATACCCTTTTTGTTCAGTTTTGTTGAGTGTAGAGCATAGAGGCGATAGTGGCATAATAATAAGCAAATAAATAAAACTAAACGCATTTTGCGCCACTTTGTTGCTGCCCGCGCCCAGTTGTTGCTACTGTTGCTGGTGTTGTTGTTGTTTTTGCTACTGTTGTTGGTGTTGTTGTTGCTGCTGCTGTTGCTGCCTTAGATATTGTTGTTGCTGCCTCAGATGTTGCCCATGACGTTGCCCACAAGTCATTGAACTTAGACCGACGACGTAGAGCCAACAATAGCAAAATAAATAAAACGCGAAAAAGCGAAGAAGCCAAGGCAACCACCACCCCCCTCGTCGACCACCCCCTTTTGATGATAAGTGAAATGCAGTAATAATAAGAATAGTGCACCCCCCTTTTCGCCCGCCCAACCTCAACAACTCTCACTCACACACACACACCAATACACACTCAATTCGATTACACAATCTTTGCGAGCCGAGCGGCATTTTCATTTTTCTCTTCCTGGTTCGTCGTCATCGCGTGTCTCTTTGTATGGGTGAGCTTCTCTGGAGGAGTGTGCGTTCGTATCTGTGTGCCTGTGCGGAGATCAGGTTTTATCGCCCGACGCAATCGAACATATAGTATAGTTTAGTATGGTACTGTATAGCTTGGGTGGATCGGTGGGGGCGGCGGAGTTATCGCCTCGATTGGTCGTCGTACTTCGGCTTTTCGCCTGCTTTTCGCTTTCGCGGAGGATCGTGGATATATAGCTCCGCCGATCGCCCAGTTGCCGTTTTCTTGTTATTTACAGTTTCTGGTTGCTTTCGCTGCCCGTTGGAAAAATGGCAAGCTAGTATGCGGTTGGCGTCGCCGTTGCCACTGATCATTGACTTTCGTTGGTTCCCTTTTGGGGCAGGCATTCGTCAGGGAAATTGTGCAATGGGTTAGGGAAAATGGGGAAAAGTATGGGCATTACTAAATTCAGGGATTTTTTTTAAGATTTTGGAAACTCCCTTTCCGAAAATTAAATTATTTTTGTTCGTATTCCCATCCACCTATTTATTTTGTTTCTTATGGATATTTAAAATGCAATTGTTAATGCAACTGTCCCTCTCCATTATGACAATCTTAACATTTTTTATTCTTTTAAATCTGAAGTATTTAGCAGTTATCGTTTTGTTTTTGAATCCTAAAATATTATTTTCGAAGGACAACCATCAGATCATAATTTATCTTTAATAACAACTAGGTTATAAATTTATTCAGCCTTCGTTAAAAATGTCAATTGGATACGTTTTAATTCGAAAACAATTAGTACAATTGTAAAAGAAAAAAACTTGTAAAATTTAAGTGTAAAAAACTATGTATGGTTAATTAATTTTTAACAGAAAATTATTTAATTTATTATATATATATTATACATATATATAATTTCACTTTGTTACCAAAAATTAGTTTTACGATCAATTAAGTTTATAACTTTATCTTAACTGTAAATACACTACCAACATGCAATATTATTCCTCAATATATGTATTTAAAAGATACTATTTTTATTGATCTTCAAAAATAATTTTGAAGAGAGTACTCTTGTGCCAAAAACTCAAGTATACCACTTTCTTTTGAGTAGAAATCAACCGAAAACGCAGCAGCAACATGCAACATTTAAACTTCCGCATTGCAGAATTGTCTCTCCCACTTGGCGTTCGCCCTTTCTCTTTCTCGCCTGCTCAACTGAAGGTTCTTTGACCCCCCTTTAAGGCGCCCCCACTTCTGCTCTCTCTCTGTCGCACAACCATATTCTATTGCCCTCTCCCTCGAGGATAGTGCAAACTAAGTAACGGTCCGCTCTCGCTCGCTCTCCTGCCCTGCACTGGTGTGTGTGAAATTGATCTTGAGTGGAAGTATGGAAGTGTGGCTGCACTTGGAAACGTTGGAAGCCGACGCCGGCAGCGACGTCGGCAGAGGCAATAGAAATTGAAAATAGCAACCAGGAAAAGAGTTTGCAAATGGAAAAGTGCAGCAACAACACGAAGGCAGCGAGAGTGGCAATGCATGTTGCTGGTGTGTCGTTGTTGTTGCAAGTCGAGTTGTTGTTGCTGTAGCTGGTATAGTTGCTGTTGTAGCTGCAATAGTTGCTCCTGTGGTTGTTACTATTGCTTCTATTGCCGCAATTGCTGCATTTTCTATTGCTGTGGTTGTTGCTGTTGCAGTTGATGTTGTTGTTTCTACTGCTATGGCAGTTTCTAGTGTTGTTGTTGTTATCTCCTCAGTTGTTGCTATTGCTGCTTTTTGCTGTGACTGTTGTTCTTGAGGTGGTTGCTGTTGCAGAGTGTGTTGCTGCTGTTATTTCCCTGGTTGTTGCTGTTGCAGCTTGTGTTGTTGCTGTCAATCCTTTGGTTGTTGCTATTGCAGCTTGAGTTGCTGCTGTTACTGCCCTTGTTGTTGCTGTTGCAGCTTGTGTTGCTGCTGTTACTGGTGCTGTTGCTGTTGCTGGTGGAGATTAGAAAGATAGAAGCTCCAGCGGTCGCAGCACATTGACTCTCTCGCTCCGCCAGCCTTTCCCCCGATCTCCTCCAGCGATTCTGCCTCGTGCTGCGGCGGCGGCGCTTCGCAGTTTTCCCACTCCATTGGGCCACACAGCCGCATTGCATTCTATTTTCCTGCTCTTTCCACACTCACACCAGCACACCCTCACTTACACTGGCGCACAAACATCGTTCTTGTTCTTCTGCGTCGCTGCCGTCGTCTTGGACTTTTGTGTGTTGTCGTAGGTTCTGCAGTTTGGCTTGGATTTTCCCTGGCGCATTTGGAGCGCTGCGAAGTTGGCGCTTGGATCTCGACGAGGCGAGAGTTTCGTACGCGCGATCACCATTTCTCCCAAAAATATCGAGAGTCGCGAGTGCCGCCGCCCCATAACGAACATATATCATATCGATCGGCCGATTTTTGGAATACGCTTGAACTTGGAAACGAAGGACTTCGAATACAACACGGAAGTGAATTGAAAATTTATGCTAAAAACGCTATTGCGATGGAAGTGTGCAAGTGATAAATCAAAACGAGGGGGATTAGGGATGAGAAAGGCGGAATGATAGTGATAATTTAATCAACCCGTTTATGAGAAATTGTGCACACAAATTAGAAAGGGCAATTTGTCATGATTTAATTATGTGGTCAGGAATTAAAAGAGTTATGGAGTCTGGAAAAGGGTGATGATGAGGCGTAAACTCAAACTAATTGAAACTTTGGTTTCGAAAATTATACAGTTTTTACTTTTTCAATTTAAGTCTTCTCTTATCATCCAATTAATAATAAAAGATATTAAAAATAAATAAAATTTCTATAAGGATTTTAAAGGTTTATTATGGTTTTTTGCTAATTTTTTTTTACCAATTTAAAATGAGTTGGCTAGCTCTTCAAAACATCAAGACTAATATTTTTCTGGAAGTAGCTAAAGCTTTGGAAGATTTCCGTTTCAGCCTCTTAGCTTAGGCAATTTTGGGAAAGTGGTTAGGAAAAAGTTGTAGCAAAACATCAAGGGACTTAACCAAACCCTAGAGACTCCAAAGCTGAAATGACTTTGGAAGTTGCTAATGTCTAAGTTTTCCTTTCAATCAAACCGCAGCTAGAACCTAATTAAAAACTCAAATATTCGCAAGAGACTGTGCCGAACCCTTTTAAAAGACTTTATTCGAATTCCCCGTTAAGTGCCAAATAATACAGAATCGCAAAGATTTCCCACAAACATGCTGAGCGGGCGCCATCGCGGGTTGCCAACATCGATTTCCGCCAGCAGGACGATGATGAAGATGATGGATGGCCATCTGACCGATCCGATCCGAGCAACATGGATGTATACCAAATAGAGCTGGAGGCACAGGCACAAATCCGCTCCAATCTTCTGGTCGAAACCTGCGTGAAGCACTCCTCGGAGCAGCAGCAGCAGCTCCAGGTCAAGGAGGAGGACCTCATCAAGGATTTTGCTCGGGGCCAGGAACAGCATAGTGAGGAAGAGGAGAAGGAGGAGGAGGAGGAGGAAGAAGACGAGGAAGAGGACGACGACGACGACGGGGCAGAGGAAGAGGAGGAGGACGACTGCGAAGGCGAAGTTGCCCTGCTGCCGGCGGTCAATTTTAATGCAAATTCAGACTTTAATTTGCATTTCTTTGACACACCAGAGGACTCGTCCACCCAAGGGGCCTACAGCGAAGCCAATAGCTTGGAGTCCGAGCAGGAAGAGGAGGAGCAGCATCCTCCGCAGCAACAGCAGCCACATCACCGGGAATTGCAGGATTGCCTAAGTGCCATTGAAGCCGATCCCCTGCAGTTGTTGCAGTGCGACGACTTCTACAGAACAGCAGCGCCAGTAGAGAGTGTTGCAGCCAGCCTAGCCCCCGCACAACAGCAACTTGCCCACCAGCAACAGCAGCAACAGCAGCAGCAGCAACACCCTGGACAGCAGCAACACCAGCTCAACTGCACGCTGAGCAATGGTGGAGGTGCTCTGTACACCATCAGCAGTGTGCATCAGTTCGGTCCGGCCAGCGGTTCCCCCTCCTCCAGCGGCGCCCACTCCTCGCCGGACAGCGGCTGCTCGTCGGCCTCCTCCTCCGGATCGTCGGGATCCTGTGGATCCAGTGGGTCCGCCTCCTCCCACGCGGTCTCCTCCTCGTCGTCGTCCAGCTGCTCGGAGCACTTTGCACGGAGTACAGTTGTCAATGTCAGCGGCCACGCTCATACATCCTCGTCAGCGGTCAGCAGCAGCAACAACAACAACAGCAGCAACAACGGCAGCTGCAACAACAACGCCAGCAACAACAGCTCCAACCCCGCAGCAACATCTTCATCTGTTGCGCATCTGAACAAAGGTACGTGCAACTTGCAACTTGCAACTTCGACTCTTCCGCGTTGTCGACTCTCTTCTGCGGACCATTGTTGTCGCTGTTGGAAATTATGTTCAATAAATTTGCATTCATTGCATAACAGCAGCAAAAGCAATTGAAAGTCGTTGGGGCTTCGGTTTCTTCTCTTTTTGAGGAAACTATTAAAGCGCAGCATGAAAAATGTGAAAATGAATATAATTCCCTGTTATTGGCCAATGGCTGTTGCTATTTCGCCTTTCCTTTCGCAGTGCACACGAGGAAATTGCTTTTCATGTTGCAGGTCTGTCAATGTGGTTGCCTTTGCCGTTGCGATTGCGATTGGGTGCAATTGAAAGCCATGGCAAAAATGTTTTCATTTTCATAAATCGCCTTGAATTGGTCTTGGATCTCGGATTGCCTTGAATGTGGCATTTGAATGGGCTCAGCTGGGGGAGTTTTTCGTTGCCCTAATGGAATAGGTACTGAGAACTGAGCCGGAAAATGCAACACAAATTAAGTCTAATAACTATTACGGTCAGCTGCTGTCTACACAAAAGAAAAGAAATGAATAGCACAAGGGTACTTTTTATGTTGTTTTGAATCTAAAATGAAGTTTAACTATTTTTAATGACAAAATAACTTAATAACCATTTATACAACTAACACTATTTGAAGTAAAAACATTAATATATATTGATTATACTCATCTTTGTGACAAATATTATCTTTTTTTTCAATTTATTTATTTTATTCATGAAAATATTATTTTCTGATAATATATATTATTTTTTTCTATTTTCTAACGAATTTGGTATGCAAATGGAGCATTTTAAAAAAATGTTGCATATTGAAAACCATAAGAAGCATTTTTGGTTGCAAGGATTTGTTGTTAATAAAATCAATTATTCCTTGAGAAGCCATTTAAAACCTCCGATATCACTAAATGTATTAATTAAGCAGAGCGCTTAGTTGTAGACTGGAAATGTTTTAAAATTCTTCACAAGCAATTTTGAGGTCGAAAGTGTTAAGAAATATATTTTTCATACTATTCTGATATTTAAATTATCATATTTTAGATAATTGTTGTTTACCAAAAAATTAGTTGAAGTGCACTAATTTGATATGGGTATATAGTTTCATAGTTATGTTAGGCCAAAATCGTACTTAAAGTCATGTTTTAATCAATTTTTTACATAGAAAAATACGTTATTCTCCGTGCAAACTCCTCCGACCATAAAAACCATAGGCACTTGGGCAAATTTGTCTTGGCCAGACTGCTAATTGCCTGGACTTGCTGCCAAGGATTTCATTTTGCGGCTCACAACGGCAACATTTAATTGCAGCAATTAGTGCGGGCAGTTGCAGGCGAATGCAAATTGCAAGCAAATTAAATCAGTGTAACGGGGCTTGGGGGGGAAAACCAAATAGGAATTCATCAAGGAGAAGTCGAAAAGTCGACTGCTTTTCCCCGGCACTCCAATTGATATTTGCTGCGGCAAGTAATGTCTGCCATTCGCCATTCCCCACTCAATCAGTTGTCTTCGCTCAGATAAATGCAGGCAATGGAAACGGAAAAAATCGAGGAAAATATGAAGTCTTTGTCGTCTATCGTCCATGGCCTGCCTCTGACTTGTCTGACAACGCGGAAATGCCAAGCAGTTTTCCGCCAGCCCCCACTGCACCTCACCCCTTTCTTCGGCTGGGTAAACAATGGCGTTTCAAATTGTCAACTTACAAAAGCCACCAAATGATTTGCATTTGAACGCGGCGCGAAAATGAAAAGAAGGCACTTGAGTTTCCTTTGGGTTTTTCTTTTTCATTCCTGCCCGGGCCGACGACATTTTCCAGACAACGTTGTTGCTGTTGCCGGCAGGCCAATGGTGAAAATTCAATTTGCAATTGCACAAGCGCGTAACGCGCCATGCACTAATAAAAATGTTGACCACTTTCAAAGGATGCATATTAAACAAAAATTGTTTATGTCTTTTCGAATGTTAAATATGAACATTTAAATAAAAATTCAATATTCATTTTAAACTCAACTGTCTATTTTTAAATAAGTATTTTAGCTTGAAAATTAAAAATTTAATTTTTAATAATTCATATCAACCTTTGAATATTTGTTGATTTTCGAAACAGTGTCTACCTGCTACTAAAAATATTTAACGAAAGTAAATGTAAATGTGTTTGATTTATAAGGATTTTTTATAGTATTTATACATCCATTATACAATGGATTTGATTAGTAACCTTTGCAATTTGAATCAATCTAATTAAGTATACAAAAAAATGTTAATATTTATTTCTCAAAACTTCTTTCTGTGTGGCCCAATCTTTTCTTTTTCTTTCCTTTCGTCTGTTTGTCGGCGCGTGCAAGTTGCACATTAATTTCATTTTGTTTCGCATTTTTGAGGTGTGGCAACGCCAATTGGCACTGCAGCAACTAGCAACACCAACAACCAGCAACACCAGCAGCAACAACAACAGCGGCAGTTCAAACTCCGCGCTTAGTTCATTTGCCTCTTCCTCCTGCATTAGAAAAGCGAAAAAATAAAAGCAAGAAATGCAGTCAAATTGAATTCGAAATGAAATGCCAAGAAGCAAACATTGCTGTCTGGCTCCAGTTTTTCTTTGCTGCCTGCTCTTCTGTTTTCCTTCTTTTTTTTTTTGTAATTTGCAATGCAAATTTTTTTCGGCTCTCGCTGTGAAAATTGTGCGGCTGCAGTTTTTCCTCGTGACTGCCGTTTTTACAGGCAATTTATTGTAGGCGGTGGCGTATACGTGATTTTTTGGCATTTCTTCTTATCGCACATCGCTGTCGAGTTGAATGCACTCTGTGGCTAATGCATTTGACTTTGATTGCCAGCTGGCTTAAGGATGATTAAGATATGAGTCTAAAGGCTGCCGGAAAAATTGATTTTAGCCATTAGGTGGGTAAATTCAATAGTCTGCGACAGTTGTCGATTGATTGTGGCTGCCCCGTGTTGCAAGTGTGACAACCGGAGAGATGGCGTGTGGGTGATACCGTCGGTGACAGCTAACTCATTTGGCAAATTGCACAGCGAGTGTTGCACATGCGGCGTATGAGCAATGTGCCATTGCATAAGCAACCAGCTGGACAACTTTCCAGCGGAGGAAATGTGTAAACCAATGCATTTTTCCCTTGCAGAGCAACAGCAGCAGCCGCAGACGACGACACAGCTGCAGCAGCAACACCAGCACCAGCAATTGCAACACCCGCAGCAGCAATCTTTTGGCCAAGCGGACAGCAGCAACAACAACAGCAGCAACAGCAACGGCAGCAACAACAACGGGGTCTCCTCGAAATCATTTGTCCCCTGCAAAGTTTGTGGCGACAAGGCATCGGGCTACCATTATGGAGTAACCTCCTGCGAGGGTTGCAAGGTGAGCTCTTATTTTATAATTTTAAATTGCTTCCCCCTCGTAATTTATTGTCTCTCTGCCAGGGTTTCTTTCGTCGCAGCATCCAGAAACAAATCGAATACCGCTGTTTGCGGGACGGCAAGTGTCTGGTCATCCGGCTGAATCGAAATCGCTGCCAGTATTGCCGCTTCAAGAAATGCCTCTCCGCTGGCATGAGCCGCGATTGTGAGTACTAAACCTAAACTATACCTTCTGCACCCAAAGAAATATGATTAAGCCAAAACCCAAATGCCAACCGTTTGGGGCCAAAGTGAAGGGGAGGCTGCACCTCTCTGGTTTTGGTTTTTGCCCCCTTGATAACTTTATTAGCTGCGAAACCACTGGCAGATTTCTGCCAAGAGATCGCAGATTGTGTCAGTTGGCTGTCGGTGGAAATTGGCAACTCAGAGATAAAACTTTAGAGGAGCAATTTATACTACACAGAAAAAAAAGCGGGGAAGACTTGTGTTAGATGTCGGAATATCTGCGATTAAATTAAGAAGAACATATATCACATTCTAAATTATTAATGCGGTTAGTAAGAACATCTATTAATTAATACTCTTAGATCCATTTTCTCGTCCTCATTGCGTATTATTGTAAGTAGGTTTTAAGCTGCAAAGTTCCAAATGTTTTTTTTCACTTTAAAACCAACTTTTAGCTAACCATAAGGACTAGAAAACGGGCCTTAAGCTGAAAACATTGCATTATAAAACTTGTATTTTTTATAACTTTTAAGAAAAAATAAATCTTAAGTATGGAAGCCATAAAAAGAATTGCAGGCTTTTTATTTTATTTTCTCCAATAGGCTTGATAATTTAATCATCGAGCAACAGTTAATCGGTTAACTAATGCCCGCTTAAACGCTGTAAAACCTTTACTCGGGATAATTCGCCCATTTAAAAACCCAATTTGTGGACAGGGGCCGCTCATCCAGCCTTAAAACGGGTTTACAATCCGCCCAACCTTTTAGCTAAGCACCCATAAAGAACTCCAGACTCGCCGCAGCAATGTGAAGCGGGCGGAAACCACAGCTTAAATGCAGTTGAAGTTGGGTTAGCCACAAATTTTCCCCCAGCCGGCTTGGGAAATACTTCCTGCAAAGCCGAAATCCACCCACGGACCAAAAGAGCGAAATTAGTTTTTATGACTGTTGTCAGCAGCAGCAACAAGCCAAGCTAAAGCTGCAACAGCAACTGCTCCAGGGATCCCTTGGCTTTCAAATGCAATTTATTTGATGTTGCGCAATTAATTGCCCAAAAAGATCGGAAACAAGAGAGCCGGCTCATAAAATCAGGCAACGGGCGAGTGTATTGCTGCTGTCACTGTTGCTGTTGCTGTCGCTGTTGCTGTCGCTGTTGCTGTCGCCGTTGCTGTCGCCGTTGCTGCACGCGAGCAACATTTATTAGCCAAGTCTATTGGCTGCAACATTTGTTGCCATTTTTTATGGCATTTGTCTCGCTAAGAGTCGGGCCTACAGTGTTGAGCAAACATTTCCTTAATTTTCCTCGTCGCCCACGCAAAGTGAACCACAAGGAAATCCCCCACGACCCACACGACCAAGTCATGTTGCTGCCTTTTACCACATTTAATAGGTTTGCACTGCAAAGCTTTTTCATCTAACCGACTTTTAATGCCTTAAATTTAACAGATTTTTTGATTCTTATTTGCTTTATTACTATAATCGGCAAATATTTAATATTAAACAGTAACTCAATTTTTTCAATATTTATTAATATTTATGATATCACTCTTTTTAACTTTATTAACTATAACTATCAAGACCGATGTTCTCTTTCATCTAAAATATTTTTTTGTTCTTCAAAAATCTTGGTGGAATATTAAATCCTATTAAAAAAACTACATTTCTCTTTTATTTATTTATGTAAATTGCCAAACTATAAACATTATTTACTGCTCATTGTAGAAAATTATAATTTCACAGATTTAAAACCGGCACCGCAGCGATTTAAGAAGTAGTAAACCATTTTTATGCTTAAGAGGTCATAAAAGTTACATCATCATCATTTATAACTTATCGTTACTCCGTCCTATATTACTCAGCCATATTTTATTTGCCTAGATTAATGGTGTGCTCTCGCAGAGCATAGCAGCTTCGTTTCAGAGCAAAACAGTTTTTCATTTTCCATATTTTCCCAACAGCACTTTACTGATTCTTCGTCCCTGCTGGCTTTTACTTTGCGACTTTTCCTTTGCCCCAATGCATATGGAAAGTTCAATAATTTACTTAAATTGCTTGTGAGGCAAGTTTTGTTTGGGCCTGAATGGGATGTTGCTGCTGCGCCTGCGATGTTGCTGTTGCTGTTGTCGGTAGGCGGTTGCAACTTTCGAGGCGCCTTATGATTTTACTTGCTCGCTTTAATTAGACTTTGCCACAGACTTTGTTGAATCGGATGAGGTTATTACGGCCTATGGGTTATGGCAATGCTGCAGCTGTCAATTGCTGATTGCCGATTGCTGTTGCAGTTGCCGTGAGAGATTTTCCAATTAAGTTGGCTTAGGGGGCTGCTAAAATCGTTGAAAGCCAAAAACTAACTTTAATTTTAGCGTTTCCCCGTGCAAATGTTCGAGTTTAAGGATTTTAATGGGTCAACCCATTATTACCCTGCAGCTCTCCCCTGAAAAAACAAAAAACAAATGCAATTATACTGCCTGTGTGTATATGAGTGGGCGTGGCATGACTTTTATTTAATTTGCAAAGCTTTTGTTGGCAGTGGGACAAAGTACAATGAAAAAAAGGAAAAATAGCGCGATGCTTGCCAAGCAGAAATTGCATTTCGGATGTTGCAGCAGCAACAGCAACACCGTCGACGTCAACAGCAACACTTTGCATGGCTCTACAGGAATTTGGGTCAAACATAAAGCACATAACACACACACACACAGCCGCCCAAAGTTTTCATGCCGGCATGCGGCATTTTGTGGCAATATCAACATAGCTGCCAGCAACAGCAACAGCAGCAACCATGCCATGCCGGCAGCAACATCTGCCTCCCTTTTCCTAAGCCAATTATTTCTCAAACAATTTGATAAACTTTCAGTCATATTTATTTACATTTAGGATAAAATAAAGAGGGGTAATGAAGAACATGAAAATGTTTAGCGAATCACTGCTTCATACTTACTCTCTGGTATTTTTGACCCCATTAAAAATTTACAAATTGAGTAAACGATATTTGAATTTTTTCTTTTTCATGATTTTTAATAAAGTCTGATAGGTTTTAAGCGCTGAATGCGACTATTTATTTCACTTCATTTTAGAGTGGGATAACATAATCACTTATAAATATTTAAACTGGAAATTATTATCTAAGAAATTATCAATTATTTTAAGACATCTACAAAAATTGAATTCAGATCAAATATTTAAATATTAACCAACAATTTTTTGTTTATTAAAGATTCTAAAGTTAGCAATTAACTTATGAAAAAGATTATTATTATAATTTAATATGTTCCATATGTGGTTTTATATGTAATTCTTACATAATAACATAATATATTTTGTTCCTGCTCGAGAAAGCTCAAGGTAATATAATTTGTAAGTTTTCCTAAATTCTAAGGGCACAAGTTTTTTTCTCTCTACAAAAGTACTAAACTTGGATCCAGAGCTGCCGGCAGTAATCTAATTTATGTGAGAAGATTCGTCTGAGTTGGCTAATTGAAAAGTTTCCGGCCTGCTCTCTTTCTCCGCTTTTCTTTCCTATGTTATTTCTAATGCCGCCGTCAATCAAATTGGCCGCAAATCAAAATGCAATTAAAGCGCCAAGCGGGCCACAGAACTTTTTGGACAAAGTTCTGGTTGTCTGCTGTCGACTGTTTTCTGTCTGCTTGGGAATGGGCACAGAGCTGTCGCTGCCAGCGGCAACATCACCGGCAGCAGCAGCAGCAGCAGCAACAGCAACATCAACCGCCAAAGCGACACAGTAACACAGAATCAAACTACTCTCGACTCAATTGTAGTCAATTTGAAAGCCAACTATCAAATGTCAGCTACAAAGATTCGAGATTCGTTGCCACGACTCTTCTAGACGCCCAAAATCGAGTGCAAAACGAAACTGTTGCTGCCAAAAACTTCATGTTGCCGCTGCGCCTGCGCAGTGACAGCGGCAACCACAGCAACAACAGGCAACAACAAAAGCCGGAGAGCAAGACAGGCTTATAATTGTGGCGTAAACTGGGTCAGTTGCCAACTCAGGCCAATCCAAATCCAACAGCCAGACCCCGTTGCCAGTTGTACCGGAGTGCGAATGCTCATTGTTGCTGCTAGTTTCGTTCTTTGACTGGCGGCCCATTGTGGCTGCTCGCTCTGTTTCTGCGCTTCTGACAATTGTCTTTTGTTTGGCCGTCGGTTACATTAAAGTTTAGCCGCAGCCACAGCTTTATTTTGCCATTGTTTCGCCCGCGAAATTTTATTATTATTTGGCAATAGGCAAAACGGCCGAGAATGCAAAGAAAACATTCTCGAACATTGCACGGTCTTTGATTGCCAACTGTCAAATTTCCATAGCCGCTGCACGGTAAGATAAATTTATTATAAGCGATTTATTGCTCAAAAACAAACTTTAAATACGAAAATCATTATTCATCCCTTTGTTTCCTCATTTATAACTTTTAATTTTAACTGGTAATGTGAATATAAACTCATTTAAACACAACATTAAATTTTCCCATAAATGGATTAAAAATGAAAGTCAATCACTTACATATTTAATAGATTATTTTAGATTTTATAAACTAAAAGAAAATATACCTTTTCAAGTCTGTAAAGCCTTATTTCAACTGATATCTTGTTTTAATATAAAGGAACAAAGCTAAACATCCTGAGATAATGAAATGTTGATGCCCCTAGTTTGTACATAAAATAATATGCCGTTTTTCAACATTTTAAAAATATTACAAAAATTGTAATTTGTTAAAGATACAAAAAGGAATAGTAATTTAAGAATTTCATGCAGATAGTTATTGAATCAAGCTACAAGCCTTTAAATATATATTAATTTAATTTATTTTTTGGCAATTTTAAGCTTATACATTTTGGTTAGAATTTCATATCTGGGTCAGCTTTCTGAAGTCTTTTTAATAAACCGTCAATGTATAATACGGCTTAAAGTTTATAAATATTTTCCGGTAATTCCCGGAATTTAAAGATGCAAATAAATTAT